CAGGTGCCACACGCTTCTCCTTCTTCAAGGAGCACTTCTGAGAAGCGTGTCGGTTCGCCAGTTTTGTCCTCTCACGTGATGTCCAGGCATGAGTCCACGGATCACGGAGGAGGTAACACGCGTCGAGTGCTATTCCCAGCTACACCGAGCAGCATGCATGGCATCTGATCCAGTCCAGCCAGACAAGCAAAACCTGACCTAAGCTTCCGGGAGCCCGTATCTAAATCTGCACTGCCCTCAGAATTCATAGCATTGAACCTTCATAGCAAAAAGCTCTTGGGTCAGACTGGAAGACAGCCCAGCCAATGCATTCTCGCTGCCCCGCGTTTCTCAGTGGGGGAAGCGCGGCTATCTTCACATCGCAGTGTCCACGCACTCAACAACCCTGCAGGTGATTCATGCTAGCTGCTAGAGTAGCTGCCTCATTACATTTTACCGTGTGGCTCCAAGAACGATTACAAGGGCTGTTTGAGTGACTCTGTCTCCTGCCTTCTCAGTCAGTGGGCGGGACTGTCCTGCTTCCCACGTCCTGGCAAGTTCATTGCGGGGTTCACAAATTGCTTCTATGATACCATTATGATAACATCTTTTGTGATTGGCCGTGGGAGTCCGGTGTAGCCGACTTCGCATGCTGCCGGGACAGGGCTTTCACTGGACAGGCGTGTTCGGGGCAGTGTCTCCAACCGCCTGCGCCGGTTTTACACCCCTGGGAGGTCAAGTAGAACAACCATTCCAACCTCTGAAGCCGTGAGAGAGCACTCTGGCACCCGAAAGCCCAAACCCCCTAAAACGACCTGCCAGGATTTTTCCCTCTCAGAGCCAGCACCGGTACCTTGCCTAGACCACAGTGCGATTTGATGGGTCAGCACGAGCCAGCTGAGCAGATCTTACTTTGCGGTACGTGATCCGGTAGGCCGAACAGGATGAAAGACCGGATGCTGTTTGTAACATGTCCCTTGCTCAGACGACGAGCTCGTCCGCCCTTCACCTTCCAAGAAGGTCGCATGTCGTTTGTATCCTCACAAACCGGCCCCTGCTCCAATGCACAAACAATCGTGCAAGCCTTGCGCTGCCGATCTGGCAGTTTGATAGCAGTAGGTTTGAAGACGTCTGTAACCCAATTTTTGATGGTGCCCGAAGGAATGGGGGCTGGTGAATTCGGCCTTGAAGATTGCAGTTTAGGGTCTTTACTTTGTGTAATAACGCAATCGTGTGTATCGGGGACGCATCAAGAGCGATGCTCACGTGCCGATCGCTCCGGCCTCCGCCAGAATTGCAAGAGACGGACCTTGGCAAAAGCCGTCCCTTCGAGCTATCGCAGGAAGGCGGCCGGAGCTTCAGCTCCTCGAGCTGGAGCCTTGAGTGCTCTCCGTTCTCTGCGCCAACCTTCTAAATGTGCTCTTGACTCTCAGGTTTGGGCTTCCTGAACCACTGCCCAGCCAACGTGGGCTGCGCCCTGCAGGCAGGGCCGGCAGGCCGGCGCTGCTTTTGCCTCTCAGCTCGTGCCGCGCACTTCCACAGGCGACTGCCAGGCTGCTACTGCCCAAGTTGTCCACAGATGAGCCTAAGCTGAAGGCGACATGACTCGCACCATAGTAGGGCAAACGTTGGGGACCTCTCTCTCTCTCTCTCCGCGCCCACGTGCGGATGTGCATGTGTGTTTTGCTTGTCCTTTTGGTGAAACAGGCGCTATGTAGACAAAGTGGCCAGGGCCCAAAGACATGCACCGAGAGAAGCAACCGCCATATATAGTTTGGCAGCAGTAAGAAGCAAACGTCTGTGCGCAGGTTTGTTACCCTCTCGCCGCCGCGAGTTAAGCGAAGAGGGTGAACGGATGCCTGTTTGGGAGGCCTGACATGTGCTGGTGCTGTGGGAATGTAGTGTCCCCGCAGTTCAGGTTGCTGTTGCTCGAACAGCGAATGCATCCGCAGAGACGATTGCGGGCACACTTGCTGCTGGCTGTCGAAAGCTGGTGGCGGCCGAGATGGGCGAGGCCGGCGTGAGAGCGCAAGGATCGTGCGCTGAGCGTGCACAGAGCCACACTATGGACAAGGCCGACCCAGAAGTGTCGACAAGCGCCGTCGCTGCCAGTCCTGCAGAGTTTCCGAGGGAAGTGTGTCCCGCAGAGATGCCGGACATCAGCGACAGGCAAGGCATGGCAAGGCTTCTCCCGAACAGAGAGGCTTCAGAGAGAGAGAGCAGGCACAGCCTCGCTGCTGAAATCCTTAGACGAGATCCGTCCATCTACTACACACTCAAGGCACGAGACAAATTCCAGTTGACGACAGAGCAACTACTGGGTTACTAGTTGGACCTGTATTGACTGTCCTGTCCACTTCTACCCATTGGTGCCAGCTGTCGCACACGCCGCAAAGCCTTGCGACCACTTCCAATCTGAAGGGGGGTGCGGAGTCGACAACTGTCGGTGTGGTGCATGCTTGACAAGCGTGGGGCAGAGCTGCAGCTCCTTGCTGTCGTCAGGACAGATGTACACCCCTGGGTGTCAACTTTGCGACCTGCATAAAGACTTGTTTCGACAACATTGGTCACCGAATGATTAAAACGGTCGGCGCCCCGGCTGACAGAGAGGGAGCGGCAGTGTCGGTGCAACTTATGCATGCTTGTGGGCTACAAGCGGTTGCATGTTCTAGACTGCACTTTGGAACCTAGATGTGTAGAATGTAAAGGTACTTAGCTGAGCAGAAGACCCAGTGGGTTTGTCAGTTCTCGAAAACAGAATTCGCGGTCAGATTGCGAAAGGATCATCGTCTTGAAGATGTGGCATACCAATCGGGACAAAAATCGATATGATTAAGAAGTGGCAAAGGAGAGGGAGGTTTCTGATTTTGAACTCTGAATGGAGCATGAAGAGTCAGGTTGATAATGAGATAATGATTCAAAACAGCTCTTCGCCAACGCGTCAAGATATCAACAATCTGAGATCAGAGACATGAAGGACTCGCGTCCGTCACCTGCATTCAATGTATCTAGGATTTTCAATCCTGTGGAGCGTACTCCACAGCCGTGTCCTTGGACAGTGTGAAGACTTGATTAGTTGTCAACCAGTAACGTTTTGTAGTATGTGTGTGTGTATACATATATAGCATCACCATAGTTTTGTACTAATGCATAGTTATCTGGATGTCTATGTAACAATGTAACCATGGTGGGCGTGTGGTCTATGTGTCCGTGTGCCTGTGTGTGGGTGTCTCTGTGCCTCTGTGCACCTGTGTGTGCGTCTGTGCGTGCGTCCGTCCGTCCGTCCGTCCGTCCGTCCGTCCGTGCGTGCGTGCGTGCG